CGAAGAAATCATCAAATGTCAATGGTAGCATATGTTTATGATATTTAAACATAAAAATGGATGTATACAAATATGCTATATCAGCAAGTTTCAGCAGTTTAGTTGACTTAAACAAAGAACTTGACGGATCATCAAATCTAGAAAACGTCATGATGCGAACAGCTTTTTTTTGTAAGATAAACAACGGATTTATGATAGTTTGATACGTATTACCCCAAGCCACTACACCATATATTAAAAATGGATAAATTAAGGTATGATACAATTTAATAAGGCAGCCTAAATCAACATAATATCTGATCTTCGAGAGCAGGCCAATAGATCTTTTAATTTTTTTATTAATATAATTGACATGCTCTTTCCATCTAAGATCCTATTGAGCCGTGTTTCTTTGTCATGTGTATAATAACTGTGTGTTGCATTTTATTATTTTCAGACAATTTAAAAATATCGAGAGGAACAGGAAACCGCTGTCTCCATCACACATGTGAGTGTACGAATTGAGAAATTGTTTGTCAGAAATTAGCAAAAGTTTGTCTGCTTTGCCGGGCAAAATAAACTGAATACGTAATTAGGCATTGTATAATTGTGCATGATAAGAACGACATAATTTTAAAATCAACTTGCTAATTAAGTAATTAACTCGCCAGTTAAAGTAAGTAACTTTCTTTTCTTATTTTAAGAGTGTTTTTCTCGACAAGTGATTTCAATGGAGAGACCTCTGGTTCTAACATCAATGGAAAGTAGGACTAGATATTATGAATTGTCGTACAGTACATTATTTATACACATATTTCTGCATTAGTAAATTATATTATATTGTAGTATTTAAAAAGGCCCTGTCCTATTGCATGTGACGCATGCGCGAATTTGCATTCATGCAAATATTGAGTTGGTTTTTACCACTGATCTGAAATAAGACTGATAAAGCATCTGCTGTGCAGAAGTGAAGCCAATTGCGGCCATGTTGGATGGCCCCGCAATTAATCTAATCTGGTATTGTGGACATGTTTAACTTCTTCCTTTACGTTTCTAGTCAGTAGTGGGAAAGGACAAATATTGCCTAGATAAGAATTTATCATCAGTAGCCTCTCTATTTTCTTAAATTTTCCGGTGAACAACTAATGGGGCCATCAAATATGGCCGCCATAAGCCTCATTATGTGATGTAATAAAACGTTCTAAGGGACCGGTCATTATTTATGGTGGGGGGTGGCACCGAAGAGAAATGTTTTTCGTGGCAAAAATTTTGCTGACCCAACCATTAAAAAGTAAAAAAAACCTGATTATCCAACCTCAAATATCAATTAAAAAATAAATACCCACCCCTGGCCAAAAAAATTACAAAAGGTACCATTCAGTTGTCACATATGTCCTTTACCACTTCTGTGACATAAGTTTGATAACAGATTGTGAAATTTTCTGCAGTCTAAAGTTTCATGTTGTCTGCACATGTACTTTCTTTGGAGATCCCATCGGAAATTGATCAAGATAGTGACTCTGATTGATTCACATATTGTATTGACATATGGCGGCCTACTCTGGGGTGGCCTACTGTCTGTTGCCATTGCTTTTTAGTCCCCAATACTTCAGTGAGTCATGCTTTGGAAATAATTTTTTATTACCCAACCCTTGAGTTGTTTTGTTTTTCATTTACCCAACCTTTTACTCACTCAAAATTTAGTTTACCCAACCCTTTTCTCTTCGGTGCCCTTAAATAATGACTGGTCCCTAAAACTACTTCGAAGAGGTTTTGGAAGTTATATTTCACAAGTCACATAGGTGAAGATATTCGCTTTATAGTCTAACTAGTGAACTTAAACAGCAAACGATTAGACTGGTCATGAATTTGACTGATTTATAGATCTCATCTCATTAAAATATTCTGGCTTCAAAATCGGATTACTGAATTCAGTAGCATAATTTGTCCAGTCTTATTTCAGATCCGTGGTTTTTACTCGTTGCCTAACCTGACGGATCAGGCTCTATTTTAGAAATAGAACTCGTTGCCCGATTAAATTTACTCATTAAAATTTGAATAGAATGTGTTTTCAAGCATCCTTATTTACAAGTCACGATCTTTTTAAAAGCTTGTTTAAAATGTCGATCGCGGTATGCGTAAATATAGGGATTGCAACAGCTTGCCAGCGATGCTATCAACAGGAGCACACGCGGGCAATAAGACCGTTTCAAATCCTCGTTCAAAATTTGGATGACACTCACGACCGAGTATGGCGTATTAAGAATGGTGTATAACGTCATTACAATGAAAATAGTTTTTGTACATTTTGCATTCGTCACTGGTGCTATCGAAGGAAGTTCGGCACGAATCGATCTCTTCTTATTGTATACGACTTTACTGACATATACATATGATGTTACCATGGTTGTAAAAGGCAGCAAAAAAAATAGGACAAATACCAATGTTTTGTAGACAATAATCAAAGGATGAAAGTCATGTGTGTTGTAGCGTTCTGTTATTGGAGGTCTACGATAAAACAGAATCCGTTTTGCATCCGAATTCGGTGCTAGAGTTGCAGTTAATAGTAGGACCATTCCAACTAGGGTCACAGCAACGCCCCAGATTAAGGCTAAAAGTTTTGCGATTCGGCTCATTGTCACAAGGCTGACGTATCGCAAAGCATAGCGAATTGAAATAAAACGATCAAGGCTGATCAGGCCAATATGTAGGCTGGCTGTGGCGACGAGGGTAGTAGATATCCCAGCTTGGATGTCCGTATGTACGCCTGTAAAATTTCTGGTGGCTAAAGTGTGCATCATTATGAACATTGGGATAGCCATGAGCAGATCAGAGAATGCCAAACTTCCTAGGATTACGTTAGCAGGTGTACGTAGGGTCAGGTAGCGTTTTAGAGACAGCAAGATCAAAGTATTCCCAGTCAGACATAACGCTACGCAACATGATAGAAATACTGTTTCTGCAATTCGGAAGGCTTCTGGAAGTTCGAACGGTGTCATTCTATACAGTGGCGGTGTCGTTTTGTTCAGTGGCGGTATCGTTGTGTTTAGTGCCGAGGTAGTTGCCATCTTGTCGTAACTTTTAAAAAACTTCACGTCTGTTTGGAGTTCAAAACTTTGCGCTTGTACTTGTGGTGACGAATTACAACTTTCCACTTCGCACGATGATACTGAGTTTGTAAAGACACACAAGCTTCATTGCTCGACGTAGAGACTAATTTATGTTTTTAATGAGGTTAATGTTTTAGTTTCTTAATGGACAAGACTGTTTCTTTATTTATACGCATACATTATTAATGTATTTACTGTATATAGTAATAATATATGTCTGAAAGTAGTAAAACAAATAATTAGTTGAACGACTTACTTATACCGACAGCTCTGCAGCTGTTTCACTTTTGTGCCGCCTTTTCTAATTCGGTACAGTCTCGTCGAAAAACTAAGGCCAGACGAAAGCAGTTCATTATTTTGAAAAATGGAAATACATGCATCAAACCAAAACAGAAAAATTATAACTTACTGTCTTAAGTTAAATCAGGAGCTTTTTTAAAAAAGAATATATTATAGAGTCTAAATTAAGATATATAATTAGTGAATTAAACTAAGGCCAGACGAAAGCAGTTCATTATTTTGAAAAATGGAAATACATGCATCAAACAAAACCAAAACAGAAAAATTATAACTTACTGTCTTAAGTTAAATCAGGAGCTTTTTTAAAAAAGAATATATTATAGAGTCTAAATTAAGATATATAATTAGTGAATTAAACTAAGGCCAGACGAAAGCAGTTCATTATTTTGAAAAATGGAAATACATGCATCAAACAAAACCAAAACAGAAAAATTATAACTTACTGTCTTAAGTTAAATCAGGAGCTTTTTTAAAAAAGAATATATTATAGAGTCTAAATTAAGATATATAATTAGTGAATTAAACTAAGGCCAGACGAAAGCAGTTCATTATTTTGAAAAATGGAAATACATGCATCAAACAAAACCAAAACAGAAAAATTATAACTTACTGTCTTAAGTTAAATCAGGAGCTTTTTTAAAAAAGAATATATTATAGAGTCTAAATTAAGATATATAATTAGTGAATTAAACTAAGGCCAGACGAAAGCAGTTCATTATTTTGAAAAATGGAAATACATGCATCAAACAAAACCAAAACAGAAAA